TTCTTTTACGTTGAGGAAAATGCAAATCTCTAAGTTAGGAGAGCGGGAAATTAAAAAAAAATTGATTTATCAGTTTGAGATTTTCACGTTGTTGTTAACCGAGTTTTGTGCAAATTTTTAGAGCATCTCGCACAAATTCTCAGTAATTTCTCAAAAATATAGATCAAATGTTATAATCACTAAAAAAACTAACATTCTGGTCTAATGTATTCTTTAATTTGGAGATTTCATCATTAATGATGTTACTTGGATATTCTATAATTTTATCATCTCGATATATTTAAAAAAAATTATATAGAATAATAAGATATTCAATCTAATTATTGGGAAATAATTAAAAAATTACTTCTCTCTACTCGCATTAAGTTTTAAAGAATTTTATAAATTTAGGGGTTGTTTGTTTACCTCTTAATAGTTTCATTAATAGGCAACATCTAAATCGTTAAGAGGTAAATCTTGTTTGGCAAAAAAAAATTCCGTCTCTAAATGGTTCTAAAAACTTCTTAATGATTTTGTATCTTGTGCCTCCCTTAATCATTAAGCGCCCTAATTTCATTGTAAACAATTACCAAACAATTATATTTCATTTTGCACTATATCATGAAAACCTCTTAATCATTATGCACCAAATCATTCTGCAACTACCAAACAGACTTTAGATTATTTAGGGGGTGTTTGGGATTGCTTATTTAAAACAGCTTATGTTTTTTTGTAAAAGTGTTTATTAACTTATGTGGTATCAAACTGGAGTTAAATAAAACATGGTTAAAATTGTAAACTGGTAATAAGCAGTTTTTCATAAGTCATAAATGATTAACTTATCAAAAACAGCTTATTACCGGTTTGGCACCGGTATAAGCAATTTTTTTTTCTTATCCAAACACCAAAAAAACAACTTATCACCGGTATCAGACTGAAATAAGTTAAAAAGCAGCTTTTATAAGCAATTCCAAACACCCCCTTAATCTTCTCTTTTCTTTTCTCTATTTTAGATAACTATTTAGAGATTTATTGGAACACAAATATCATCAAAATCTCCATTCTATATTCTAGAGATTCTATTGGAGATGTTGAATCTTATATTTCTAACAAGAAAATATTATGGAGATTTTGGATACATATAGGACGCCAGGCCACGTTATGGACATATCAGGCGTATATCATACCTTGTTTATCATATGTTTTTTGAAAGTTGTCACATTATGTAAGTGAACGGAATAAAATGAGTGTACACAGTCAACCCCTTTATAAACCGCATTTGAGTTGTTAGGTCTAAAACTCGAAAATTGAGTTGAACGTGCGTTAAGGATGAAAGACGTATACCATCAAATTTCACGGTACAAAAGAAATATGAGTTAGTTTTGATCCTTAGAAATAAATCAAAAGGTAACCAAAAGACATGATTTTTTTTTCTGTATATCATGAATAAGTTATATAAGTCGTCTATGAGAGAAGACACGGAAACCTAAATATGGAGAAAGAAGGATTAGAACCACAAGGGTGGTGTCCGATTGGTTTGAATTTGGGTTTCAAATGTCAAAAGTACCTGGAGGTCTCATGTTCGAATCCAAGGAGGAACAAAAATCCTCTTGTGGCCACGGAGGTTCAAATGCGGTGACTCCGAGCTACTCATAAAGTCGGTCGTCACCCTGGGATTAGTCAGCTCGCATAGCGGGTTGGATATTCATGTTAATAAAAAAAAGGGATTAGTAAGAAAAGTATACATGATTTCTTTCATAAAGAAGAATGTTCTGTGGTTGTTCGAAACACACACACACGACGACACACAACATAGAGTCATAGATGTATCGGGCCTATGATCGTACCCTTTTTTATGTTGTTTAAAGTAGTTTGTATGCATTTAATGAGCGGATTTAAATGAGGAAACACAAAACCCCTAAACAAAAACAAATTTAAACCGGTGGAGTCTTGAGTTTCAAAAAAAAAAATAGTACCATCAATTATCAAGATACATGAGGATGTGCGTTATGCCTTGTTTGTTTTTTATAAAGGGTTAAATGCATAAAATAGCAACCTACTTTCATAAATTTTCTTATTATAGCATTTTACTTTTGTTTTTCTTTATTACAGCAATGTACTTTCAAATTAATTTTTATTAAGGCATTGTACTTTAAAAAAATCTACCTATAATAGCAATGCGTAATCTGTTACCTTTTAAACCGGTTAACCCTTTGACTTTTTTGCTTGTATAGCTTTAATGAGGTGATGTGGATGACACATCATTTTGATGACTATATAAAATTAAAATAAAAACATATTTCAAATTATTATTAGTGATTTTCATTTTTCATTGTTATGATCTAAAAAAAACATTTAATTTTTTTACCTTTTCTTATTAAGTTGCATGCAAATTAAATATTCTTAGAGTAAAATGTTTATTAAATAAATATGAAACATTATTTTCGAGATATATTTTATTTGTAAAAAAAATAACTTTTCCTATTTTATGTTGTTCAAATAAATACATATTTGTTTTAAAAAAATTAAAATATTAACGAAATAAATTGTTATCTATAAATTTTTTAATATTGTTATATTAATAAATAATTCAAAAAAATCTAATTAATTTAATATATTTATACGTCAAGTAAAAAGTTTTTGAACAAATATAATATATTCTTTAAAAGATATTATTTTTTTGGTAAAAAAGAAACAATTCTTATTTTCTTTTTTTTCAAAAAACACATATTTTTTTAAAAAATATTAGCGAGATAAGTTGTGTTCTACTAGTTTTATTGATATTGGTATATTAATGAATAATTTAGAATTTTTTTAATTCATTTAATACATTTATTAAATAACATGTAAAATATCTAAATATTAAAATTAAAAATACATTGTTTAATAAGAACTAGTAGATGTTATAATGAAATAATTTTGAAAGTACAATGATGTAGTAAGAAATTACATCACTATAGTACATGTGGACATCCTACGTGGACAATGAGGTGGCATGGAAACCTAGTATAATGGGTAAATTTAAATCGTAAGGTTACCCAATGCTATAATGGGTAAATTTTTCAAAGTACAATGTCCTAATAAAAAATAGTTTGAAAATACATTGTTGTAATAAGAAAAACTGAAAGTACAATGCTATAATAAAGAAATTTATGAAAGTAGATTGCTATTTTGTGCATTTTGCCCTTTTATAAAAAAGCTCTTATCGGCCTCTTATGTTTGATTCGTTAAGAGGTAATGTCATTCAGACTATTTGTTTTTTTCAATTTTCAGAGGCACTAATGTCTTATTGTTCTCTTATCTGGTAAAAGGTAAACCAACCTCTTATTTGTCTCTTATTGTCATTCAAATCCTCAACAACAGCGTTTCTCAATCGATTAACCTTAATCGATCATTTCTCTCAATCGATCCTAACCAAATCAATCCTCACATCTCACAATTGATGAATTTTAATAGGATTTAAATGTGTTAAATACCATTCATGACATATTTTCGTTTTAAATGAATGCTAATTATATGATTTATATGTAATTTTCGTAATGATGATGAATAAATATGTGAAACTGTATAAATTTATTTATAAATGCAACACTATAATTTTTTAATGGATAAAATGGACAATTTAAAAAAATTCAGACGTTTATCAATTTAAAAAAATAAACAGTCTTATTGAATATTGATTCACATTTCAGACTTCAGCACCACCTTTTATAAATCATAAGTGAAATAAGATTTCAGACTTCAATAACTCTTAAAAAACAAACTTCACCTTAATATCAATCCTTAAAAAATATATCATAAGACAGCAAAAATATATTTCTTTCTAGCATTTATGATCAAGTTAAGTCTAGGCATATAAAGACAACAAAACTTTGAATAATAGCTTAAGGGATAATTCAAAAGGTGGAAACAGAAATATGGGGAAAGAACAATGCCTTTAAACTAGGTGAATGAGATACAATAATGATGAGTTCATTTAAGAAAGCTTATTGCCTTCTGAACATTGTACAAGTGTAATTTAGTAGGCAAGAAGCTTTCTTAAATTAATTCAAAACGTTTATGATGAGTTCACACAATCACACTCAAAAGCTTAGAAGCTCTGAGTTCACACAATCACTCAAAAGCTTTGACGTTCAAAACTTCGAAGCCCTAACTTCAGTTCATAAGTTTTTGATTTTGAGTGCCTTATGATCCATGTTTGATCTTATCCACAGGCAGTCAATTCGTAACTGTTGTGCAGTTATCAAAACCGCTAACTAACCTGTAAGTGTTGATCTCTCATGTAAATTATATGTAAGACGTCAAATTTGGGTCACTACTAAATGGGTGATTCGTCACAAAACCGTCACAAAAATTGGTGGGTAAATTGTTGGTGGTAATCTTAAACCGGTGACAAATTACTTAAGATATTTTGCAAATATAACACATAAAAATTTCAAATACTCGAACCGACACAACAAACGGAATATGGAAAAAAATGGATCACAAACAATATACTTGTCAAGCAGTTAAAACAATAACGTAATGACACAAGCACATTATTAGTTTCACGACTTTTATGATCGTGTATATATGTCACCCCGACAAACCCGATATAATCTATTAAATAATGAACAAATAGCGAGTTCTAACTGTTAAGAACGTCTACCTATACTTTCAAAGTTGGAGATGGGGGAGATCACAAAGTGTTTGCAAAAATGTCTAAAAGATCTCACAAACACTTTGAGACCGAATTTCGGATAATAACTTCTACTCTAATTTGTCTGCGATCAACGCCACCTAACTGGTACCACATCATGTTCGTCACTTTTCGTATTTTGTATTCCATTCGTCCCAAAATAATTGTATCATGTATCATAAAGTCATGCAACACACGTACAAAAACACAAGTTTTTGCCAACTCTAAAAGGGCGTATGACAAAACTATACATATCCCCAAAAAGATGGTTCTTTTAGTTACAGGCAAAATATACATGTTACTTTCAAACTGGAAGGAGTTCGTACGACCTCAGTTGCATCTTTCACCACCTATCGTCATTGTTCTGTGATCGTGGGTCACCCAACCGTTGCACCGGCTGTTTAGTGCCAGAACCAGAGCCTGTCCTCACAGACCAGACGTGATCATTGTTATTGGCAACCGTCCTTGCAGGATATCTGGTTGATTGTGTAGTGAAGGATGACCGGCTTTTTTGCTCGAAACCACTGTTGATAGGTTCATCAGTCCATCTTGACCGCTGGGCGTAGCTGCTATTATTTCCACGTGCACCTCTTCTTCCATAAGCATCAGAAAAAGAAGGGMCGYCGGTTTGATGATTTAKAGGTCTTGTAGSATTGTAACCCCTAYCTCTAGGGCTCCATCCKCTTCCGCCACCTCTAAWARCRACTCCAGGAGATGAAGAGCTTTTAAAACCAACATTAGGGTTTGTYCTAGCTCCTGCTTGAACATGGTTATATGATCTGCAAATTAACCAAATTTTCACAAGCATGTTAGTGCCACTGGAGTGAAAATTTATCAGATAAACGTTCAAGAAACGAACCTCTTGATCTGGCCTTGGTACCCCCGCATATCGTGCCACAATTGCCTCTCCTGAATGTCCGATTCAGTTACTACCTGTTTGATAGGATTTTACAGAAGTTCCGTCAATTATTTGAAAACAAAACATTGAACAAGACTGTACTTGTAACGCATGTTCGATAGATCAATTAAAAATTGAACGAGACTAATTACAACCTTTCACGAGACACAGTATTGTCCATAAATGAAAAACATCAAGGGATAAACAAGCATATTGAAGAAAGCGAACCAAATAAAAAGCTAAGACTGCATACCGTTTCCGGGATGGTTGTCCCTTCAAGCACGCACGGTATGTGGAGAGAGGAGACCGGTGGTTCATAGTATACGCATCTGCAGTGTAGGAACATATGTAAGAAGACTAGACTAGATTGATCTTTTAATGATTCAACCGGCAAATAGCAACGGCTTACAGAACATCACGATGGTTTGCAAATCCATTAGAATCGCTAGCATCCTCGGAGTCTTGCTTAAAATGGACAAAACCATTTATGTCTCCACTGAGATCGAAACAAGAAAAGAAAAACCGTTAAAGAGGAAAAACAACCTGCCTGAAGAGCTAAATTTCAATATCAGGCATCACTACCTCAAGTCCGTATCGATCTTGATTGAGCTACTTTGCTTCATGCAACCGGCAGTGTTGGTAATTTGCAAGGCTAAATTTTCTGAACTGTGCATGAACAACTTATCAACATTCTCTGCATTTCTTTTAGCTTCTTCCTCCTAAATGTAAACAATTAACATGTTAACATAATGCGTTTAGAGTCTTTGCTCAAATGGATATTCGCTTGAATATCTTGCAGCCTTACGCTGAGCTCCTTCTCGATCTTCTTTGTTGCAGCAAGAAGACGCTCCTCCTCGATGAAAGGAAGTTTGCAGATACCCTTTTAAGAAGTAATAAAAACATCATGAGGTTATTACAAACAAGGCAAATGAGCGGATCGAGTCGAGTATTAGGTTAATCGAGCCGGGATCAAAAAATTAATACTAGGCTCGAGCTCGACTATTTTTTCAACTAACTTTTTCAATGTAAGGCTCGAGCTCGAATATTTT